GATTGGTTTTTACACTTCTATCCCCTTCTCTCCTCCTCTCTAGATCTAATTTTTTTTAAATGTTTATTTATTTTTGAGAGACAGAGAGAGAGAGAGAGTGGGCAAGAACGAGCCAGTAGGGGAGGGGCAGAGAAAGAGGAAGACACAGAATCCGAAGCAGGCTCCAGACTCTGAGCTGTCAGCACAGAGCCCAACACGGGGCTCAAACACGGAACCCGAAGACTATGACCTGAGTCAAAGCCCAACGCTTAACCGACTGAGCAGCTCCTCTGTAGGTGTAATTAGAAGAGAATTAGATGTAATTAGAAGAGAACAGAACCAGAAATTGCTTCTTTTAACCAATCAACACTCACTCACTGAGCATCTACAATACACAGATACTTCACTCGACTTCTCTTTTTAAGCAATTATCACTTGCTACGGAGCACCTACCATAAGTGATCACCGCAACTGGTGGTTAAGGCATCAAGATTAATAAGATAAAGTCCCTGAAATAATGCGGCTTACAATCTTGAAAGGGAGCTAGATACATAAATAGATTATACAACTAATATATGAGGCGTAGAGCAAGTGCTGAAAGAAACCGACGCAGTGCTCTGGTGGTGCAGGGCAGGCAACAATTTCAGAGGGGAGCTCTAAGAAGAAGGGAGGAATCTGGGCTGGGTCTTAATGACTAGAAATGAATTTGACAGGCAAATATTGAGGGATGGTGGCATAATACTGAACCAGCCAGGGACCAGCCAGGTCGAGGGACGTGTGTGAGAGAAAGAGGTCAACGGGGAGAGAGAGGAGAGAAGAGAGGAGGAGAGGGTGGGGGAGGGAGACAGATAGAGGGAGAAGACCCAACTGGAAAGATATCAAAGAATGTGAACCATCAAAGGTATGTGAGCAGGAAAGCGATACGATCAGAACTGTGTTTGGGTCCAGAGCTCAGATGAGAGTTAAGAGATAAAAATAGTGAAATCATGAGAGTTAGGACTGCCCCAGAAACAGAAGGACAAAGATAGAAAAGGACTGAAGATTAAATCCCAAGAAATAACTACATTGGGAAGCACAGGAGGGAGGTCAGTGAAAAACACAAGTGATCTGAGAGACAGGACACCAAGGAGAGAAGGTCATAAAAATCAAAAGAGAAGCAGAGAGAGTCATCACAGCATCAGAAGAGACGATGGGCGGGAACGTTTGGCAATCACCAAGCTGCTACTGCTCGTGAGACTGACAGCTTCACTTGTGAGCAGGTCGGGGTCAGGGGAGAGTCGAGTCACAATAAATTAAGGAAAGAGGTGCAGAATTATAAAGGCAGTGAGTGGGGGCTGCCTTTCAAACAACGGTGAGAATGAAAGGAAAGAGAAAAACGGGCAAAAGTTTGTGGCCAAAGCAGAGTACAGGTTGTTCATAGGAGGAGATACATGAACTTTCTTCTCCAGACAGAAGTGAGGAGGAGACTGAAACAAAATAACAGAGAACATGCTGCCAAGTCCTGGGGGGAATGAAGGCCGGAGAACAAGAGAAGGGAAGCAATGCGGGGCGGGGGATGCCTTCCCTTCTAGGAGGCTGTAAGGGAAACTAGAAAAATCTGTGCTACTGCTCAAGGTTAAGGGCACTCCAAATAACTGAATAACAGGCTAAGGATTAAATGGGGCGGAGACTTGGCAAAATAAGATTTAAACAAGTGCTGTTTGGGGTAGGGTTCTCAACTAGAAATGAAGAAAATAGCAAACAGCACTGAGGGCCTAGATACTACAAAAGCAAAGGAACAGGAATTATGTTTTTTTAAAAAAAGTAGTAATACTGAAAGGTTCTAGGCAAAATAACTTCCCCAAGCAACTGATAATTGTTTATGACAAAATATACAACATCAATCTTTGTATACTCAAAAGATTTCCAAACTCCAGCCATAGTCCACTCGCTTTAAACAGAATACAATATTGTATCAAATTCCGATATTAAAAAAGTAGGTGGTTTTTACTGGTTTGCCTACTGACTTGCAAGTTTCACATCAAAGTTTCGATCTTGTTATCTCTCAAAACATATTAGCTATCCCTCCATGCTGTCATCCACAAACTCCAAAAACTTAACTTCACCCAAGTTACTGGCCAACAGGAAGAGAACTTATTTTTTCAGAAGGACACTCAAGGCCTCTCTTCAGGGTTGACGCTTTATCACTTATCATTTCTTCAGGTACAGCTGTTTAACTGATCATGAACCAAACTCTAACCGTATTATCATCCAGCCCACGCTTCTCCTTTGTGACCACAGGACATGACAATTCTGTCAAAAGTGATCTGGTGAAATCTAACTAAACAACACCTAAGGCACAGTTGTCTTAGGAATCAGTCTAGCAGTCCTATCAAAAAAGCAAACAAGGCTAATTTGGCCACACCCAGCCAGCTCCGTCTTTATTCAAGGTACCCCCAGACTTGAATTTAAACCAGCCCATGGATTATGTTATGGGTGTACCCTGGCAGGGTCTCACTACATTCATTTCTCCAAGGAGAGAAACTTTCCACTTTTTAATTAACTTTTTTTTTTTTAATTTTTTAATGTCTTAATTTATTTCTGAGAGAGAGAGAGAGAGAGAGAGACAGCGTGAGCAGGGGAGGGTCAGAGAGAGAGGGAGACACAGAATCAGAAACAGGTTCCAGGCTCTTAGTTGGCTGTCAGCACAGAGCCCGACGCGGGGCTCGAACCCACAAACTGTGAGATCATGACCTGAGCTGAAGTCGGATGCTTAACCGACTGAGCCACCCAGGTGCCCCTACTTTTTGTTTTGGAGACAGAGAGAGAAAGAGAGAGAGGTGCATGCCGGAGAGGAGCAGAGAGACTCTGAAGAAGGCTCCAGGCTCAGTCCGGAGCCGACCCTGGGCTGGAGCCCAGGACCCTGGGAGCAGGACCTGAGCCGAGGTCCAGTCCTGTGCTCAACTCACTGAGCCACCCAGGGGCTCCTAATTCGTTACTTCCACGAGTATCAAAATGAGACAACCTCCCTCCCCCGAAAAGGAAAGAAAAACCAGTTTTCTGGCCTACTTGAACTCGTAAACTTTTGGTGATAGAGACAGAAGAATCAAGTGTCCATTTATAATGTCCACTATGCCGGTTATACCTATCCTATTTTAAATCGCGTACTTTGTAAAACAATATTCAGAAATTTTCCCCCCCTTTTCAACACTTCATGAAAAACAATTTCATTGAAAATTTTCCAGTGTATCTTTGGCATGTGCCTTCGCGTTCACTACAGTGAATGAGTCATTCACCTATTTTTTTCAAAGCATTACCACCTTCCTTTAATTTATAGAAGGCGTCTGAGTTACAGAACTTTTTGAATCCCTGCGAACTTTTTAACCTCAGTCCTGAACGTCCGTTACCTATACCTTCAAGCAGCCTCTTCGTTCTCCAGGCGGGTGTTGGGCATGAAGATTCATAACCCTCACAAGGTAAACGGTCTTCTAGTGTCTATGAAGTCACTCGGCTTTGGCCGACTTCCTATGGGACAGAAGAAAGCGACTTTCTCCTTTCTGAGAGATAATTATGGGGGGGAAGGGCCTTGGTTGACATCCGAGTAACCATCAGGTCAAAAAAGAAAATCACGGGGGCGCCTGGGTGGCTCAGTCGGTTAAGCATCCGACTTCAGCTCAGGTCATGATCTCACAGTTTGTGGGTTCGAGCCCCGCATCGGGCTCTGTGCTGATGGCTCAGAGCCTGTTTCAGATTCTGTGTCTCCCTCTCTCTCTGCCCCTTCCCCACTCATTCTCTGTCTCTCAAAACTGAATAAATGCAAAAAAAAAAAAAAAAAAATCACAAAGAATCAAGAACCCCAATATTTCTTAACCCCACTTCAAGGAATAACATTAAGCTGCCGCTTATGTAAACAAGCGGAGGCACCCACAGGAGCCTTCGGAAGTTAAACAAGTTTTCCTTCCGAATGATCAGAACTCTGCTGCACAGGAGGGTCGAAGGGGCTGCTCAATTCCCAAGAATTCGTTTTCTCAGAGACACGGCGGTGGTAGCAAGGCCACTGACTCGTGCGCACGGTGTACTGACTGCTGCCAGTCACTGCTGTAAGCGTTTTACACACCTTAACTCAATCTTAACAACGTTCCTATGAAAAGGGGGCTCCTGATAACACCATTTTATGGGCACGGAAACCTCGGCCCAGAGAAGTTAAGAAACTCGCCAGAAGCCACACAGCTTCTACGCGCAGGCTTCGCGGAAGCTACACGGCCCCTCACATCGCAAGATCGGGCCTACGTCTCACAGGGCGGTCCCACCTGTTAGACGGGGGTCGTCGGCTGCCTCGAGAGGGCCCAAGGGAGGGGCCGGCCGATTTTCACGCGTTTCCCATTATCCACGGGCCGTGTCACCCCCGTCACGAAGGCAGAGACGCCGCCCCTGCGGGCCTAGCCGCCCCGGCCTTCGCACCCGCCACACGCCGACGAACCCGAGCCGCTCGTCGGATCCGGCGGCCGGCCCGGGCTCCGCACCGCCGGGGGCCCTCCGCGCCCGGCCGCCGCTGCTCCGCGCAGGGGCGGCTTCCCGGGGAGCACACCGCGGGGCAGGAGGGAGCGCGGCCGAACAGACATCCAGAAGGTGGGAGCGCGTGGGGGGAGGGGAGGGGGCCGGTCCAGTCACTGAAACCCACCGGGCAGCGCTTCCTCGCGTCGCCCTCTCACGCGTCCCGGACGCCCGCCTCGGAGACGGCCGAGACCCCGCGAGCGCGCACGGCCCGGGGGGGGGGGCGTCCGGGCGCGGCGGCCCCGCGCACCCGCCGCCCGGGCCGCAGGGGTCCCCACGCCGGGCCTCGCACACCGCGGCCGGCCGGCGGGGCGGACGGCCGGCGCCTCTCGGCCCCAAGGCCACACACCCCGCGTCCCGGCCCGCGGCGGCGGACAGCCCGCGAGCGCTCCCCGCCGCCGCCGCGGGCCCGAGCCGGGCCTCTCCCCGGGAGCGCCGAGGCCAGCGGGGGGCGCGGGGTCCCAGCCGGGCGGCGCGGAGGGTCTTACCTTTAACAGATTAGACGTCGCCATGTTCCTTCAACTTCGCGTCTCGCGAGACGGCGCGAGATTTCGTGGCGCTCCGGGCCAGGCCCCAGGCGGAGGCCGGGGTTCCCACCGGGGCCGGCCCGCACCGGGGGAGAGCTGGGCGCCGCGGCGGCGTGACGACAGCGCTGACCTCGTCCCGGGCACCCGGAGCTTCCTCACTCGTCCCCCTACATGGTCACCGGCGCTCCCCCACGCGAAAAAGCTCATGCAAACGCCCGGGGAGACGGCAGCGGCGAACGGTGACGAGGTAGCGGGAGCCGACCTGAGTCGGAAGAGGAAGCATGAACTCCACGAGCCTCCCCACTCCTTCGGATTAACCTCTGGGGCTGCACCCGCAGCGGCCACGGGCAACGAATTTAGCACGGCTTAGGCCCCGCCGCTCGGGTTCCGCGGCCGCGTCACGTGACGCGGCGGGCGGGGGCGCGCTCGGGAGCGAGCGTGGGAGCCTGGGCGCCTTGGAGGGTCGGGAGGCTGCGGAGAGGGCGGCGGCGCGCCCTCTGCTGGCGGGACCGGGTATTTTCCCTCGTTCCCCCCTCCCCCGCGGGCCCCCCCCCCAAAAGCCGGCCCCTGGGTGTCCAGGAGGGGCGCGATCCCCAGGGAAGTGCTCATGACAGCTGGGCTCAGGTCCGGGCAGCTCCTTCGGTGAGAACTGGCCCCTCGAAGGCGTCCAGTAAATGGAGTGACTGCTTGAATAAGGGAATGCGCAAAAGCGTGAACTATTAATGTTTCCAGTCCGGAGTGCCTGGCACTGAAATAACGAACATTTCATCTTGGATTTCCTGTAGGCTCCTGGTTACAGATGGTACTAACCGTAAACCGCCCCCGCTCCACACACACACACCAGCTTTAGCCCTTCAGGCCACAAACCACTGGTCCAAGGAGGAGACTGTATAAAACTCACACGGAAGACCGAGATGTACCTGGAATTATATGATGCATGTTGGCAAACAGTATTCATTCCTACGTGCATATTAGGAAGGAGGAAAATTAGATCTATGGAGTAAAATGAGGCCAGCAAGGGGCGTGAAGTTTGCAACTTTGCACAGTGATCTAAGCAGGCCTTGCTGAGAAGGTGGCTCTGGAGGGAAGACCTGAAGGAGGTGAGGGACAAGCCAGGCCATGTGTGCAAGAACCTTGCAGACCGGGAAGCCCCGCGGCAAGTTGCCCAGAGTGTGGGAACCGCGTGAGAAGGGGGTGTGTTCAGAGCGGAGAGAGGACCTCGTAGGCCGCTGTAAATAAAGATTAGCTTTTATCCTTCCTGAGTGACCCAGGCAATCAATCATGCAGGCTTTGAACTCAGGGTTGGCATATCAAACCCCCGTTTTCACATGCTCACCCTACTGTGTAAATAATAAACAGAAGCAGAAGGGTCACTTAGAGAGCTTCTGTAATATCTCCTTAAATTGACAGGTGTCCCAATTTCCAAATAGTTTAATAGAGTAATCTAGAGTAATCTAGGCATGATTAACCGATGACCGATCGGTAGAGCAAGGACTCAGAGACCGTGCCTGTAATGTCCAGGCAGAATGTCCACACAGGGATGACTTTCAGGGGTTATCTTCGTTCTACAAGTGGGAAAAATGGAGGCTCAGAGAGTGATCTGCCCAAGGGCACTCAGCGGGGTCGGTGAAAAGGCCTAGTCCAGCATAAAGTTTATATAATTACGGTTCCCCTTTCCAGGGGAAATTATTTTCAACCCTAGGCCAACTCTCGCGTTCGACCTAAAGTGTAAATTGATTATAATCAACTTTACGTATCTTAGAAAAAAGTGAGATGACAAACTATGATTAAGCAATTGAATGAATGAATGAATGACAGGTAAGAATCCAACTAAGGGCGCACATAGGTGGCTCAGTCGGTTAAGAGTCTGACTCTTGATTTGAGCCCGTGTCATGATCTAAGGGTTTTTGAGGTCAAGCCTCGCGTAGAGCTCTGCACTGACCTCACAGAGCCTGCTTAGAATTCTCTCACTCTCTTTCTGCCCTTCCCCTGCTCATGTTCTCTCTTTCTCTCTTGCTCCCTCAGAGGAAGTATAAAACTTTAAACAAAATTTTTAATAATCCAAGTAAGTAGTTAACACTTGTTTGCCTATTATGTATGTACTCAGCACCAGGAATATAGGATTAAGTAAGACCGAGAAGACCCATGCCATCTTGAAGCTTATAGTCTAATAAAGAAGCTAGATGTTAAGTATAGTTACACAAATCAGTTATTACTTCATTGGGGCACCCGGCTGGCTCAGTAGGTGAAGTATGCAACTCTTGAACTCGGGGTTGTGAGTTCAAGCCCCACACTGGGTGCAGAGATTACTTAAAAACAGCCACCACAACCAAATCTTGAAAAAAATGACCTAACTGGCACTGCGATAAATACTGCAAGGGAAAAAACCCACCGTGCACTTCAGAGCATATGGTAGGGAGGGGGACTCGTACCCTAACTGCCATCGCTCCCGTTTCACACTACGAACCCTAGGAGCACTTTCTGAAGCTCAGCTGCAAACCTCCCGGGACATCTCCTTCTCCTAACTCACCCGTTCTGGTAACAACACTTCTACCAGGTGTCCCCAGTGATGCGTTCTCCATTCCACTGACCCCACTGATCCTTGTCACCCAACGTCCCCTCCTGCTTTCACTTTCTTCCTCTTCCCATTTCGGTTCTATGGCCCATCATTATAAAAATGCTTAAATATTTTAAAAGCTTAAATATTTCATTTATTTTAAAAATAGAAAGCACAGGCACATGGTACAAAATTCAGAATGTGCCAAGCAGAATACAGTTAAGAGCAAGCCTCCTTTCCTTTCCTGGAGTAATGTTCCATATTGTGGCAGGGTCGGGGGTATTCAGATGTATGCATTTGTCAAAACTCAGACGTGTGCCCTTAAGGGTTTTGCATCTCACTCAAAACAATAAAAGGGGGTAAACAGGGGCGCCTGGGTGGCTCAGTCCATTAAGTGTCAGAGCTCAATCGATTAAGCGTCAGACTTCAGCTCAGGTCATGATCTCATCGAGCCCAGCGTTGGGCTCTGTGCTGACAGCTAGGGGCCTGGAGCCTGTTTCAGATTCTGTATCTCCCTCTGTCTCTGACCCTCCCCTGCCCACACTCTCTCTCTCTCTCAGAAATAAACTTAAAAAAAATTTTTTTAATTAAAATAAAAAAGGGGGTAAACAAAATTTGAAGTTTAGTTAATGATATTCATGCTGAAGACTTTAGGAGCAAGTGAAGTTATGTTTACAATTTACTTTGTAATGTATTAAGAATAAAATGGATCGATGGTTGCATAGAAAGGTAGACCAGGCACGTGTAGTAAAATGGTAATGACAGAATATAGGTGGAGGGGTATACTGGTATTCTCTTTGTAAAATATTTCACCTTGTCTACATGTTTGAAATTTTTCATAATTAAATGCTGGGGGAAATTTTTTTAAGATTTATTTTATTTTTTAATATTTTAATTTTATTTCTGAGAGAGAGAGAGAGAGAATGCAGCAGGGAAAGTGCAGAGAGAGAGGGGTACACAGAATATGAAGCAGACTCCAGGCTCTGAGCTGTCAGCAAAGAGCCCAACATGGGGCTTGAACCCATGAGTCATGAGATTGTGACCCCAGCCGAATTTGGATGCCCAAGCAACTGAGCCACCCAGGTTGCCCTAAGGTTTATTTATTTTTGAGCGACAGAGCATGAGCAGGGGAGGAACAGAGAGGGAGACACAGAATCTGAAGCAGGTCCCAGGCTCTGAGCTGTCAGCACAAAGCCCAATGCAGGGCTTGAACCCATGGGCCATGAGAACATGACCTGAGCTGAAATCAGACGCTTAACTGACTGAGCCACTCAGGCGCCCCAGATATATATATATATCTATAGATATATATATATACTTTTTTTTTTTTTTTTTAATGGGCCTCCCTTGGGGCACCTGGGTGGCTCAGTCGGTTAAGCGTTCAACTCTTAATCTCAGTTCAGGTCCTGATTGCAGGGTCATGAGTTCAAGCCCAGCAATGTGCTCTGTACTGGGCTTGGAGCCTGCTTTTAAAAAAAAGGCTTGGGGGCACCTGTGTGGTTCAGTTGGTTAAGTGCCCGACTTCAGCTCAGGTCATGACCTCACAGTTTGTGAGTTCGAGCCCCCAGTCTGGCTCTGTGCTGACAGCTGAGAGCCTGGAGCCTGCTTTGGATTCTGTGTCTCCCTGTCTCTCTCTGCCCCTCCCCTGCTTGTGCTCTGTCTCTCTTTCTCAAAAATAAATAAAACATTAAAATTTTTTTAAAAAATAGGCCTCCCTTGCTCACAGACCTCCAGTACCCCTCCTTCCTTCCAGAGACAACCAGACTTGTGTAGGACTCCTGTGAACGCCCAGGGCACTCTGTGCCCATCCATGTAAGCAGACACGTGTGTATTCTTTTTTCTGTCCCACAAATGATGGCATACTACTTATACTCATTTATATCTTTTTTCCCCACTCAGCTATATGATATAAATTACTGAAAAATATGTCTGTGCTTATTTTTATCACATTTCTTTATACAAATTCAGACAATTATTGGCAGACCCTAATGCATCCATTGCGATCAGGATGTTTGGAATTGTTCCTTCAAAAATAGGTTCTTGCAGCGCATCTGGGTGGCTCAGTCAGTTGAGCATCCGACTTCAGCTCAGGTCATGATCTCACAGTTTGTGGGTTCCAGCCCCGCATCTTGCTCTGTGCTGACAGCTCAGAGCCTGGAGCCTGCTTCAGATTCTTTGTCTCCCTCTCTCTCTGCCCCTCCCCTGCTCATGCAGTCTCTTGCTCAGAAATGAATAAAAAACATTTTAAAAAAAGTCACATACTCCACCCACTTAGCCAGCCAGGTGCCCCTCTTACAGTCCATTTTATTTTATTTTTTTAATTTTTTAAATGTTTTTATTTTATTTCTAGGAGAGAGAGAGAGAGACAGCGTGAGCAGGGGAGGGTCAGAGAGAGAGGGAGTCACAGACTGAAACAGGCTCCAGGCTCCGAGCTGGCAGTCAGCACAGAGCCCGACGTGGGGCTTGAACCCACGAACCGCGAGATCATGACCTAAGCGAAAGTCGGACGCTTAACCGACTAAGCCACCCAGGCGCCCCTTACAGTCCATTTTAAACACAATAGCTATCAAGTCAAAGATTCTGATTTTTAAGAGGCAAAAAAACAAAAAAGGTTTTGTACATAAAACCTTTTGTAAGGCGTAAGGGCGCCTGGATGGCTCAGTTAGTTGATGGTCCAGACTCTTGATTTCAGCTCAGGTCAGGATCCCAGAGTCGTGGGATCAGCCCCATATTGGGCTTCCTGTTGAGCATGGAGCCTACTTGGGCCTCTCTCTCTCTCTCTCTCTCTCTCTCTCTCTCTCTCTCTGCCCTTCTCCCACATCACTCTT